TATATATTATCGACATAACGATATATATGTATACCTTTTTCTTATATTCCGCGTTAAAATCTTTTAAAGTGCCCTGTTCGAACGAAGTCCACCAAATAGGAATTTTTAGTTGCTCGAAGCCCTCTGATAAAACGCGAATTAAAGTGGTTTGAAATCCCTGCACACTTTGCAATAACCGCATTTCGTTTGCCGTTTCAGACATATCGGACGTGACGTAGCTATCCTGTAAATTAATTTAAGAGAACTTAAAATTTGCGACTCAAAACTTATTGCTATTATTAATTAATGGCGATCGGACATTACATTGTACTTTCCCTCAAAAGGCAATTGATCTTTCCATATCAAATGCTTATCGTTCATAACGATCTCCTGACAGAAATTCGCAATGCTCGAGAGTAAACTCTTCTTCCTCATATAGCTAGGAGGAATCAAGTATCGATCAATGTTGCAGGGATGCACTTGGCCGAGGAAGAGCTTGTGCATGAAATCGTCCAGCCTTTCGGACGAGACGAAGGTGTCGACGGCAGTGATTAAGAGATTAGGCATGTCCTCTACAAGAGTTAACAGAGGCTTGAGCTTCGATGTCTCGTGTATAACGCGAAGTTTCTGCCAGATATCACCGCCTGACGCGAGATCGATCACGGATTCCAGTAATTGAAGCAGTCCGCTGGAATCGACAAGATAGCTCGACGTCACGTTGAATCTGTACCATGAAGAATTTTGGTTGTTGTGGATCCAGGACTTCTCGGATTTGATTATTAAGGTCCAAGTTTCGTTGGACAGATTCTGCCACGTCGTCACATTGAAGATGTTTGATTTGAGACTCACTCCTGGCAACGCGGCGGTGAAATTCGAAACATCGTCTAACAATTTGATTAATGACATGGTCAATGACGTTGATCTCGTAAAGGTGGTTGTCCGACCAGTAACAATATCCTGCGGAAAAGACATGCAATGATATAAAAAGATGCAGTAGAAATTGAATATTTCTTCCTTTTAGATGTTTAATTAATGAAAGTAAAACTTTTTTTATAATTTGAAATTATTAAAATATTTTATAAGCCCAATTTATATTTACAACTTCTAATCATATCGAAAAGATTATTTCAATTATATATTTTTCTTGTGTACGTACGTGATATTCGTCACTCGTGGCGGTCTTCAATAGCTGATAAGGATCGAACGAACACACTTTCTGTAGAAAACGCGTTCTATTCGGCGTAGACCAGTAATTAGAATTAAAGTGGAGAGTACACATAGTCCTCCTAATATCTTTAAAGGGCATAAATTGACCGGTCGTATAATTTAGCGTGCTAAGACTAGCTATTAGGGCGATAGTCTCTTCAGGATAATCCTCTAGAATCTTTAACATTTGACGCGTATCGCCATTCTCCGCCAGTTCCCAAATTTCTAAATTGAAATTATGTATCTCAGCTTTCTTCAAAGCGTTGCCAATGTGTATCAAAACCTCCGATAGTCCCTCTATCAATAATCTATAATTCGACCATCCTTCATCTAGATTCAATTGCTGAAAAAGATAGTCACTTATTGCTTGTATCAGGAGTATTTGATTAAAATTAAAACTCCCATTTTCATAAAATATAACTTTAAGTGTAACAATTTTTAATTATTCATTTACCTTATGAAAAGTGCTCTCTTCATGTCTGATCTCCAGTGTCTCTCTCAATGTCTGCAACATATGGCTCAAGTATTTCTTCGAGAAGGGCGGCTCGATGACTATTTTGTTTTTCAGTGTGGAACTGATGCCTTTCGCAAGATCATACAAATCGCCGATCATTGAAGCTACGTAAGATCGATACTTGCTAACAGGTTTCTTCCAGATCGTCGTTTCCGCCATATAAAAATCCGTGAAGACGTTGAAGTTTTCAGGATCGAGATCGCAAGTGAAATTTTTCAAGATTCTGTAATCCTCGGCGCTCAGACCGATTCTAATGTCCGACAACCAATCAAACATCATCGTGCACGTGATTGCAGTGTTATTTTTCAGCGCCGTAACAATTTGATCGTCGATTACGGGATCGGATATTCCATTTATTAACGTCGACAGAATGTAAGGTAGCTGATCGTGAAAAATGCTAATAGGCGAGGTATTATCAAATCCTAGCAAGGATAATAAGCTGATTTTTCCTACAGCTAGAAAAAAAATATTATATAGTAATATCAAATCTCGAAGAATCAGACGCATCGAGTTAATGTTGTAATAACAATGTTAATATTACTCGAAAATGCATTTACCATTATTCAATATGTTCGTCACGATATGTGAACCTTTGTGAACGACATTGGAAAGATATTTTAAAGAAATAAGAATACGATCAGTAGCGTCAACTGATGGCTTCCAAATTTCACTTGCAGAAAGCTCACTACCAAAAGGTTTGATCGCCTTGTCGATCTCAAGGTCGATATGATCCAAGGTATTCCTTCAACAAAAATTAACGCTCCTAATAACTAATTGTGTCAAATATAAATAAGAAGTGAGAGATATTTTACAGAATTAAATATTAAAGTTAAAACTGAACTTCTCTTCCGACTGGATTAAAAATTTAAAAGTTAAATTTAGATGATACTCTTTTGCTACGCTAAACGACTATTTTTTTACTATGTAACGTTAAATAATATTTTTACCTCCAATCACTTTTCATGCTTGGCAATCTTTCTTCGATAATACTGTCCGCTTCTTCCGCGAGTGTATTTAGGTACTTGGCCAATTTCGGTTCTTCCGCCAAAACGACATCTTTAGCATTGTTTACCAAATCATCAAGTTTTGTAATCAATCGTCGAAATTTTGTGTAGCCCAGAGTCCAATTGAATGCCGGTAAATCTACATTTTCATCATGCTCGAACTAAAAATTAGTATTACAGAAAGGCTTAATACAATTAATAATTTTTATAATAATTTATTAACTTGGAGTTGTTATAAAGTTTTTTATTCTTAAAATTAAAACCGAAAATGGATTAATAAATAATTATGCATATAAACTTACAATTTTCCGGACTCTCATTAATACTGGTTGTTCTTTCCATTCTTTAATAAGGAGAGCTGGGCTACAGCCGATTTTTTCAATCTCTCGTACAACTTCCCGACTTCCATTCCTCAATTCTAACGCAACGCCAACACTATCGTTTACGATGCAAGGCCACATTCGCTCACGTTCTTTATAATCATCAATAACCGATATCTAATGGCAAAAATATACATCAGATTTAAAGTACGTTTTGTAGACTATTGTTATATATTGTATTCAGAATAAATTAAATAATTAAATGCAAAAATTGACTTACTAGAGCAACTGGTTTCAAAGTTATCATATCAACTATATCAAGGATGATCGGGGATAAATTTCTCAAGAACGAACCGACAAGTGTCTCGGTTTGGGGCATTTCCTGCAAAACATCGGAAATCTTCGCTACGTGATTGTCGGACTCTCATTAATACTGGTTGTTCTTTCCATTCTTTAATAAGGAGAGCTGGGCTACAGCCGATTTTTTCAATCTCTCGTACAACTTCCCGACTTCCATTCCTCAATTCTAACGCAACGCCAACACTATCGTTTACGATGCAAGGCCACATTCGCTCACGTTCTTTATAATCATCAATAACCGATATCTAATGGCAAAAATATACATCAGATTTAAAATACGTTTTGTAGACTATTGTTATATATTGTATTCAGAATAAATTAAATAATTAAATGCAAAAATTGACTTACTAGAGCAACTGGTTTCAAAGTTATCATATCAACTATATCAAGGATGATCGGGGATAAATTTCTCAAGAACGAACCGACAAGTGTCTCGGTTTGGGGCATTTCCTGCAAAACATCGGAAATCTTCGCTACGTGATTGTTATTCTGGATCTGATCGACGATTTTCTCGATGTTGTCGAAAATCACTGAGGTCGCCCACGCGAGCCCGTAGATAATCTTCCAATTTTCTTTGGTTTGAATTCCAAACACTGGACTCTCCATTACGTTAAAGAGCTTGCAGATTAAACCTACGCTGCAGACATATGTAATGTGTCACTAATAATTTATTTATTATAATCAAATTTTATAATATATTATGATGGCGATAAATTTTAAAAGATAAATCGCTTGGTAAAAATGAAATGCAGAAGAAAATATTTCTTACCTGATCTCCCATGCATCTTTTGCTGTTACCTCCGTCGTCCATGAAGTTTTGAAATTCTGTTTCAATTTTTCTAGTTTCTTCAAATCATAATGTTGACCTTTCTGTTGAACCAGGGTATCGATATACTGGTAAATCTCGATTGTCTTCTCGTTGAAGGCGGTCCAATTAAATTCCTTCTGCTTATATGTGGCTTCCTCGATTTCGATGTTGGTCACGTTCAATTCCAGATCTGTTTGCACCGATTTGGATAGATAGCACACCAGCTCCTTCAGAATCGTGCTGTTCGATTCCTTAGGAAAATTTAACAAAACCGGCGGGTTCGGATCCGTGCAATACGTTCTCGTGAAATTCGAATATTCCAAGATCTGTAATGTCTATTTAACGAAGATCGCTTTGAGATGATAAAATATACAGACTTTATAATTGATGATTATATTATGCAAAAGATTTCAAGATTAAAGAAAACTTTAATTACGTTTTGCTCAACTGACCTTTTCTTTATCCGTGACGGTAAGATAAAACGATTCGATCAACTCCGCTTGATGATGGCGTACCTTCTCGATCCAGCTAGTAGGATTAGTTCGTAGATCTTCCAGAATCATTCCAGCTAAAAAGTCCATATTTTCCAAATCCGGTTTGATTGACATGTAGGATAAACTATTGGAACCCAGCATTTTCGCTATGCTTAGATGAATTCCCAATCTAAAAAAAGTATTACATGTTATAGAAAATATTCTTATAATATAGAAAATTATTGTGCACATTGCGCGAAAAAAAAAATATATATATACAAATTTATTTTATGTATAAATGCATAATTACTTACATATCCAATCTTGCTTGAGGTTGCGCCTCTTTGAAAATTTTTACCCATTCGTCACTTGTTTGAAAAATGGTCCAATTCAAGTAACTTACTTTCCGCGTGTCCAGATAAGTTACAAATTTTTTTATATTTGTCACAACGGACGTTAAGTTTGAATTTTCGATCCTGACTGGTCGCGTGAACGCCATACTAACCATGGTCGATAAAGTTTTACTCACCTGAAAAATATGCTCCGTTTATTATGGAATCTTTATTACTGTTTTACTACAATCGATTGCTATATACGTACAATATTTCCAAATTTGTCAAATTCGAAACTGTTATAGACATCGGTGATCAATTTTTTTCCGTCATCGCTGCAGAATAATTCATCAATTTCGTTGGATTTATCCTTAAAATCAACGTAATTATCGAATATCTCGTTCATTGTGTCTTTTCGACAAAATACTTCCTGGGGTTTTATTTCTTTTGAATCTTCTACAAGATGCTACAAGAAAAATTTAGAAAATTATGTTTTTAATGATTTGACTTAATTTATAAGAAAGATGAGAATCACCAAAAAAATTTTAGCTAAAAAAAAAATAATAGTTCTGCAATATACATAATAAATATTGCATACCTCTACAAGATCTAATCGTGAAAAGGAATGAATAATCCTTTTATATACAATAGGCTCCAAATTTATCAGCATTTTTTGGACCAAATTTTGATGCTTTTTGGAAATCTCATATAATCTTCTCAAGGTATCCTCGTGAAGAATAGCGACATGATGAGACATTTGGACGATATTATCTATCAGCGACATAAAATATGTCACTGAATTTACTAAGTTTTTGGAAAAGAAATTTCTGAGTCCATCGAAAATGTTAGCAGCTCTAAAAATTTAAGATTAAATATGATAAACAATTAAATATTATTAATTTACTTATATTGAAAAGGAGAAAACACGTACAATTCAAAATCATCCACGTGACGATCAAGTATTTTATTGGTAAGTTTTATACCATCCTGCAAGATCAGGAAAGACAAATCTAATATCTGCGTGATATTGTCATAATTATCTGAATTCGAGGAGAATGTCTTTATCGTTCCTCCCAAGCGGTCTATCACACTGAAGAAATCATCAGCGTCAGTGGAATTGGGCTTGCGGTCCTTCACAACTTCTTTCACCATCTTTAGAAGTCTGTTTAATTTCAGAAATCCACTTCGAGCGACCGGCCAATCACGTTCGTATGCAAATACAGGATCCAAAACCGCGATGGCTTTATTAATACTGAAATTAAGGCATTTATATTCCTCCGGATATTAATCGTTTCGAGATATTGAATTAAAATTTAAGGAAATTGGATTTTAAATAGAAAATATATGCTCAACTCACAACTCCAGGTCGATTTCCTTGAAAGTAACATTTTGGAAGACCAAAATTACTTTCGGCAGCCATTCACGTAGTTTCAAGTACTCGGGTATGTATTTCTTAGTAATCTTCAGGTCGAGGATAGTTTCTATCGCTCGCTTCAAATCCTGGAAAAAATTGTAATCGCGAAATTTCGCCATTGCGCGATCGACCATCGCCAGCAAGCCAGTGAAGTTCAGATGCTTCGAAAGATTCTCTAAAATGTCGGGGATCGCTTTCGAGTCGATGTTGCAGAGAACATTCGAAATCTCTGCAAAGTCCTCCTCTTTAGGTAGAATCAAATATTTCTTCAGATTTTCCGCGGAGCAAACGACACCGTTGATGTCAGATGAACCGAAAGTTTTGATCAACTGTAGATAAAAATTAAAAAATAGGTGAAAATTAATAGACATCTTTTTTTTTATCCACTGCAATACCGTATAAAAATAATGCATACTTTTTGATATAATATTTGTACAAGACTGGAAAAAGAGAAGTGATTAGATAAATCTCGGCGTAATTAATATTAATATCTCTGTTTAAATATAGGAGTAATTACTTACGTATATTAATTTCACGGATGATTCGAATAAACCGTCGATCAAACCCTCTCTGGCCCCCGGCATTTGAGATTTTAATAAATTCTTAATTTCCTCGTGATTGTTGAACAAGTCGCCCAAACGGATTCCCTTATCTATTAACATATTTATATATTCAATTGTCGAGAGAGAACGTTAAATTAGATTTCAATGCGGTCGTACCGAAAAGCGCCTTGATTTCCGGCTTGGTGAGAATCTCTGCCATTGATTTCAACAATTGGATACTCTGCGGCAATGTTTCCACGGCGGAGATAATAGTCTTATTATTGAGCATCGGTTGTAATTCCACGATTAAGGGACTTAAACTGTTGTCATAAAGAAGAAGAAAGAGAAGAATGACTCAGATTTCTTCCGATTTTTTTTCAAAGATATATAATTGTAACGGATAAAGATAATAATTGTAACGGATTAATTATTTACACGCTCAATTAATTAAATTGCATTAATTAAGACTAACGTGGCATTTTTGTACGATGGCACTTGCTCGTATTCCGACAACGGATCACAGGGACTTCCAACGCTACATATATAATTCTGCACGAAAGGCAGAAGCCCATCCTGCGGCATCGACCTTGCGGGAAATTGACATGTCGGGTAATATTCCGGATCGACATTATCACGCACCGTATAAAGAATCATGAAAACCACTACTGGCCAGAGAAATATCAAGGCTAAAATTCCCTGAAAGAATTCATACGATTTACACGAATCCGTAGAATAAATAGGAAGCAGACGTCTCGTTAAGTTGACTTACTGGTTGTCGCTTCCGAACGATATAATTCTTCCAAAGAAGAAGTCCAAGCTGATCGATCCTCATTTTTTTGCTGAGGACAGAGCTGAGAACCTATAACATTACAAATTATTTCAAATGATATTTAGTAGATTAAAGAAATAACTTTTTGCAATAATTTTCGATAATATTATCTCTTTCTACCTTTCTTTTTACATCTCTTTCTACCTTTTTATCTCTTTTATCTTTTTACTTATAGAGCATTTGCTTTTATAAAAGTATTCTTTTGGAAAATTTAAATTTATGTTGTTGTAAAGGTATAATGATCCTGCTCACGCAACTGCCAAGTATGACTACATTTACTTATGTTTGAGATTTATCTCGATGACCTTATAAAGCTGTCTGTTAGTATACAACAAGACATCGCTTGACTGAACAGGCGTTAAGAAACAATAATATATTTTTTTTATTGATTTTATCCGCACAAAATAATACATTTATTATTAAATATTTAATCCTTTCAAATAAGAAGAAAGATAAACAAGATAACAGACAAAATATACACGAACAATATTAATATGTATTAATGGTACAGCTTTGAATAAATTATGAATATTAATGTTTTAGAATAGTCGATATTCGCGGATGGTTTTTAATTAATATGTAGAATTTTATAAAATCTTTATCGTTATATTACAAAAAAAGAATCATTTAGAACTGCTACAACGCCCGATGATGCTCGGGGCAGGCACTAACGAATTGAGATTTTATCTGAAAAACTATACCGAAAATCTCGTGCAACACAATGGAAAGTTTTGCAAACTCGCATGCAACCGCGCCGTATACTTTTCCATCTAGAGTACTCGAAATGTGTGGAATCTACTTGAACCGAGTGCACTCGGAAAAATGCTGGCGGTGAATGGTTGAATGCACTATCAGAAAATTTTATTGCGATATAAAGAAACAACCTAAAAATTTCTCACCGTAACGTAATTGCATTCACATCTTACCATAGTCTACATCAAGCGGTATAATTATGCGAATAGTACCGGCGAACACACTTTCATTATATCACACTTGATTTTAATTGCGAGATAAATATTGTACTTCAAATCGTCTTATTATAAATGAAGAAATATGGATGAGATTTATTAATAGCTGATATCGTTTTATGATTATATATCTCTCTCTAAGATATTTTATTCAGATATATACAAAACAATATCATAAAACCATCTGTACAATATCATAAAAATAAGATAACTGTATATGTTCCAACATCTGCACTCTGTCTTTGCCAGCAACAAAAATTATTTTTTAAACCTATTACGGTCCGTCCTGTTATATATATTATACGTTATATTTTATATCACGGTATCAGTTATATATCTCTTTTCTTACATTTAAAATAAATATTTTATATTTACATTGCAAAATAAAATTTTTAGTTTCACCGCGTCCTTTAATCAGTCATCAGCAAACCTCACATCACGCTTGAACCTGCACTTTGGGAAGAATCCCATGCTTGAATATACTAAAGCTTGTGAATTGACTATTGTTCTTTGGTGTGCCGGAGATTTGCTCTACTGGTTGTCCTCTCTTGCGCACGATGATAATGCAAACTTAATTAATCCTGTTTGCCAAACTTTAAATTTATTGCCGCATTCGGCGCTCACGAAATAGTATCAAATCTTTCAAAAAGAATTTTTATTGCACGAACTTAATTTGTTTTAATTTAGCTAAACATACAGTTGTCTTATTTTAAACAACGATGAACGCTGAAAATTGTCGCAGAACTATAAAAATTAATATACAGGCATTTAAAATCATCACCTTGATTTACATCAATCTCCGGAGAAAAATATTAAACTAAAGTTGCATAGCTTTAAAAAACTGTGCAACTTTAATTTTACCCATTTTTCTTTACAGATAATAATATTAACAATAATTTCAAATGCCTTATTTTGTATAATTCAATATCAGTTTATCAACTAAAGTTCAAGATTGATGTAAATTACGTTATTTCGGAGAACGATACATTACGACTGCTTCGTGGAAATAAGATACAAGCTTATCATCTAATATCGAAAATGTTTATATTACGAACTTCAAAGCAAATCCGTAAGCAGCGTGACTAATTTACATATCCGTCGATGCAGTTGCAGCCGGAAACGCGTACTGCTCTATCGCGTGCTGCATCGACGACAGGATGCATTATAGAGATATGGAGCAGTGAACTTCTCGTGCAAGGATAAAGTGCATATCAGAAAAATATAAATGTCCCCGTCTCTACGTCAATCTCCTTCCGGGGAGAAATTACAAAGTATCGTGCGCAAAAGCCGGAAGAAATAAGAGGATTATTTATTTCCGGTTATTAGACGCATCTAATTTTAGTTTATAAATGAATGATGCAAGATTATCTCTTGCGAAATTAGTGAAACATATTAACATTAATAATATAGTATAGAATGCATTCGCAAAATGGATTTTTATTAAAAAGAGTTATAGATTTTTGTATTGAACATGGAGGAAATAACACAAATATTTTTTTACGAAAGTTTCTTATTACTTAATTAAACTAAAATAAAGTGTTGTTGAAATAATTTGACATAAACTACAGTAACTTTTACAGAATTGAAAATTATAAAAAGAATGTAGAGAATTTAATTTAATGTTTAAGAAAATTTTTGCGGATTTCTTCGTTCTTAATCGTATGACCTTTAAATTAATCAGCATTCGTAATCGTATACATGATGACCGGTCATTCGTATATGATTACGCGAATCTCTCATGAGATAACAAAGATTCCTTGTAATTATTGATTTGGAAATTTTTTGTCGCGGAATATATGATTAACGTAATCATAGATGATGCGACTACACTTACGAAGAACTACATGGCCATAATACGATTGGTCGTGCACAAAAATATAGACATGTATCATCTTAAATATTTTGCAACGCAATCTGCGTCTCGCGCATATACATGGAATCCAATAAATTTTGATAAAATCAGCGAAAAAATGATTTCTCATGAAGAAAGAGAAGAGGAAAAATATATATGTTACGTTTAAATGTAAAATTATTCTTTTTGAGCATATTATGTAGTTAATGAAAAAACATTTATTCTGCATTTCTTAATTGTTTTTTTAGCGAGTGATCATCTCCTAGATGTACTGCGATTTAATAAACACACTATGCACGTAGAAATACGTAATATGTTCTAATGGAAGACAAACACGGGAATATTTGAAGAACACTTTATACAATAAAGCTCAATAGCATCGTCGAGAGTTCAGCTAATAAATAATCAGTAAGATCAAAATTGTGCGCTACAATGTTATCTATATATTCCAGAAAATACACATTTCCTTTCAGAATATAGTGCTTCTCTCAAAGCGTGTTCTTTGTTATACTAAAAATCTTGTCTATATAAAAGTGAGAAGATGCAATCTATTGTGATATAGCAAAGTACATGCTTAAACAATTTTTAAAATCCGGTCAAGTTCATTGAAAGATGTTAAGAATATTTATGACACACTATATTTGACACACTTATGTGCAAAAATATGACATATAAATATTGTGTAACTATATATACAATATACGTATATTTAATAATAACTGAACGATCTAATCCTGTTATGAAATTTTTTCTTTGATAGCTTTTTTCCAAGCATTGAGATAGTTAATATTTGTCTTGTTCGTGCATAGTTGTTTTGCTGGTTGTAAAATGATGTAATCGTCGTCAGATATAGCCTCGTATACGTGTATTCGTATATCGTATATTCGTATATTTTATTCAATGACCATGAATTAGCTGGTCATTGCCATTTACATCATCGACAAGGGGAAACTTCTTGTTTTGCAGAAAATCGAGCAAAAAGATAGGCATTCCGGCATTCTAGAGCTTCGTTTATTAACACCCGGCAAACACCGTACACTTTCACTGGATCCGTGTGCGGTTATGCGAGTCGGTGTCCGAATAAACATGAATCATTTCATAATAATCGCCGCATTCGTTACGTGTGGACTTTATTACGCTCTTCTATACACAATACAAATAAATTCATGCTATAAATAATCTTCATTTTCTCGCGAACGACCATTAAAACTGCTACCATGGCACACGATGCGATCAATTAAAAACGGAAAGATCGCAATTTTTTTCAATTCGCCAATTTTTTTGATGACAAGGAATAATTACTTTACTACTATACACACGCCATCCATTATGTGAAATATGTGACACTAGTACAATGTATAAAATGGAATAACTCTGACCAATAGTAATGAGACTTTATTGCATGCGAAGAACAAAACAGGATGTGTCCGTTTAATTACACGCTATTATAATTTACGGTTAATTTTCCTGTGAAATGAAACGAGAGTGAGAACGATTGCAGCAATGAGATTCATCAAGCGTGCGAGGCGTCGTTTCGTTTCCAGGTGAAAATCCGCGATCTGATTATTAATATGCTCGGCACGCGGCATGCAATCCGAATATACTAGTGTCGTTGGCACGTAATTATTATACACGGCAGTGACCATCGTTGCGACAATGTAACCGCGACTATGCAACTGCAAAACGATATTGTATGTATATTTTGTAAGCGTTCTTCTATATTTGTCACCGATGCATCCGCGCCGCAGTATACTTTGCATCATGTATTATATAATATTTATTGATATCGAAATACTAAATATCAACATATTGTTAAAGAGAATTTTGTATGTTTTTAGAAAATTGAATAAAATATATCGTTCAAAAACAAGATGCTCAGCATTGAAAAATGTTGATGTCGTTGAATCAGTACGAGGAAAATCGCTTCAATTTCTATCGTGCTGGATCATTATCTTGCGCAAGTGTGTTACGCGTACGAGTGCACTAGACGAAATATCGCCTATTTTTATTTTCCGCGCAAGAATGTCTCGTCATCATAACAATTGCTATACATGGAATTGCAAATGAGGAAATAAAAATGAAAAAAACACTTGAAAGAGGTTTCTTACCAGCTAATACGTAGAACGAAGATTATAAATTATATTAAAAGATAAAACAAGACTGATGCAGATGAAATATGAATGTAGAATTGACTCGAATCAATTTAGCGGAACTGGTGAACTATGAGATATGAAACAGAGATCATTCCTTTACCCGGGGAAGGAAGTTCAGGGTTACATGCTATTATATAAAATAACTACGCAGACATAAGGAAGGATTGCATCCTTGCTTTTCTCAGAAACCTCAAATGATGATACCGTCAGCACCAGCAGCAGCTGGTCGAGCAAGGTTCCCGATCGTCTCTGGAGCCTCCTCAAAGGAGTGCAATGGAGTAGAGGAATTTTGGCGCGTGACAACTTGCCGTAAAGTTCGCTCGCGTTTGTCTTTCGTTCTCCGAATGTGTTCAAAAAGAGCGAATTTGTGTGAACATTGTAGCGAGAATTCGACGGTTACGACTTTTACAAATTTTTAAAAAGCGTGAAGGATAAGACGCATAAATAACGCGCGAAGCACGTTCTCCATATTAATACCTAAAAGATCAAGGATAGGTCATTGATTACGGAAAGTTGAAGATCGTAAGATTCTCTTCAAAGATGCTAACCATTTGCGTGAGTGATTATTTGATAAATATGTAAACAATGCATTCTGATACACCTTGAAAATAATGAGATGATAAAGATATAAATTTGATGATATTTTTATTTTTAAAGTCTCTTTGTTATCCCAAAGACCAGATTTGCTACAACCGCGGAATGTGAGATATTTTTCAAAAATAATAATAATTACCTCTATCTTAATATTCCGACAGATAACAATACAATTCGAAACAAGCGTGGAATAGCAGAAATTAAATATATGGCTCTTTTGCACTTTACCATATCAACTCACATAATTTCAAGATTTAAATGGAGAAGTTGAGCGGCAAGAAACATAAAAGTATATTATATTTTATATGTACTGAGAGAGAAGTGAGACTACACACATATAACCTGATTTAATAAATATTACGAAAATTAATTTTCTTTAAAATAAAGTTTTAAATAATCTCATAAAGTTTTAAATATTTATTAAAATAAAGTTTAAAATAAAAAGTTTATAATTTCATGTAATTAGAAAACATAAAAAGTGACTTCTGAATTCGATGTTGTACAGTTTCTCTATCATTTCGATTTATATTCGATATATCTAAAATTGAAAATAGAATGCTTAGATACATATTGTATTTTTTTTCTTTTATTTCTAAACAAAGATTTTATTTTTGATCACGTATCTTTAAAACTGCAATTTTCCGTAATTCCTTACATAAATCTCGATGTTTTCTTTTTCTTTATACATCTCTCTTTGTCTCTTGATAAATGTGACTAGAAGAGATTTATATCATACTTACGGCTTCGAAGCAATTAGTCACCTTATCTCCGCACACGTCTATAAGTACATAAAAATGTAATGTGTCTATAAAAACTAAACGAGCACTGCGCGTATATATGAATGATTTGTCCTCATCGATCTATGCGATCTCGATAGACTAATATATAAATCGCACGAAAAATCGCGATCGCGCAGCGTAAATCGCGATCAGCGATCCCCGAAGTGTTCGCGAGCCTTTTCGGAGCACATTCTGTTTTTACTCCGAAATAATGGATCGGACAAACCGCGCTTCCGCAGCAAGGATGCAACCGGCGAAGAGCAGAGCTGCTCGTTGCGGTCAGCGAGACTCATGCGGATCCACGAACGAAAGCGAACTTGTCCCGGCTTGTTTTCTTGTTTTGCGTTTTTCTCGGCTACTCTTCTCTCGGCGGCGGCCAGCGTAGATGTCGACCGACGTTCATACACACTTGAACGACGATCGGGGGAAGACTGTTGCCACTACTGTGATGCACGACCACGTGGACCTTCGAAGTATGCTACACACACACACACTTATCTGTCTCGTGTGCGTGCCCATGTACAAGCGAGCGAGCGTGCGAACGCGTGATCATGAATCGTTTTCTTGATGGATCGATCGACTGCCGCGAGGTTGTCGAGCAATATATAAACGTAAACAGTTACAAGGAAAGAAGATTTAATGATTTTTTTGTTAATTTTGTTTCATCAATAATTAATGATTTCTCTCATCCCCAAAAAAATATTTATTGTTTTTATAACGCGAGAATTTAATTAATCTTAATAGTTCATGGTTATTGACTATTTTATTAATCATTTTGAATAATATATAATTATAGGCATTTTTCACGCTACTGTGAATCTAGAAGATATATATCTATCCTTGATAACATACAGATACATGTACATACATACAAAAATTTCAATGATAATTTAATTATTTCGAGAAAGAAAGAAATGTAGATTGTGTGTCAAGAATCTCGGAATAGAACATACTCCGATACGTGCGCGGAATCGTGCGAGATATCACAAAATCCCGTGAGAAAAATGGTGAACTTTGCATTCCTATCTTGTACAGAGTACTCACAGTGGTATAATATCAATTTGTTTCATTTAATCTAATAAAGAGATCTAATAAATAGATCAAAGTACTCGGAAAAAAGCTCATATATAATCATATATATAATTTTATATATTTTATATGTTATTATGTTTTATATGTGATTTTATATATTATTACATATGGATTTCTCTTCCCGAGTATTTAAAACAATAAATCGATTGAATTTGCGGTTTAATTTTAAAACATTTTGTTTATTAAACTAATTAGCTGGACGATCGAGTTTCAATGAAAATTTTCTTTATATATAATACTATGAAGAGCGATAACTTGCTCTATATATATTTATCAAACAATTGTGCGTGTGTGAATCCCAACGGTGGGGTCGATCGATTGACCTCTCGATTGACTGAAAATATGGTAACAGCGATTTCCGATTGACGATGTCATTTTGATCATTCGTGATGATTTAGCATTTAAACCAGTGATTTATCGATACATACGTATTAAATCCTTTGCTTAAAAAATATGTAACTAAATGATATTACACATCTGTCTTTTGAAAACTTTTAGTGTCAAAAGGCGAGGCGCTTTCATGAAAAATTAATTAAATCGCCGGTATAATAAAACTTGACTTGATTATAACAGTAATTATGCACATAATACGTAACATGCAAATCTCACTGTGTTGTTTGCGCATTTTGTGTAATAATATAATATAATTGTTTAAAAATTCATGATTTTGTCATTTTTTTATTCTATGTAATATTTTGTTACAGCAACATGCGTTTATTAAGCCACGCAATTAAGCCACAATTAACATTGAGGATATATTTTTTATTAGTTATGATATGCAAAATTAGCAAATGCAGTCGTTTAAATTTTCTTGTAGCAATGACGCGACATTCTTAACGCATTTCTCTTTTACTCTATCATTTTTATCATATCTTCAAAAATAATTATTTTGCATTATTCGCACATTAGTAATACACGTATATAATATTATCACTGAATATTCGCTACCAAGATATCAGTTTCATCGCACTATACTTGCAATCAAGCACATATAAACAGAAAAACTTTTCAAACAAGGAGAGAGAGATTTCTAGTTATTACCAATATAATTAATCGTCGCAATCGATAACAAAAAATAAAAACTCGGTACGTATTAAGAATTTTTTTTTTAAATCTATATATTTTTTATTTTTGGTTTCCTTTTTCAAATAAAATAAACAACAAAGCTGTATTACTTCACGTGCACTTAAACACTCATTTAGTCAAGACCTTTAAACAGTCATTATATGTATGTATAATAAAGAGATTTATTTGAATTAGAAATATCATTGTAAGATTTACGAAACTATTAAATATTCTCTTTATTGATATAAAAAAAATAAGGTCTTTCTATCATTGTCAGGATTAAGGACGATGGATCGTGGCATATAACGCACGAATAGACGGACTAATTCAAAGAATAGAGGCAAACTGCGCCTCCTTTTTGGAACACATCTAAAAATAGAGCTGGCGTATTTAAACACGGTATTTGAAAAAGGACACAAGAAAGCAAAAACCCGTCTGGCGAGGGTCGACCTAGACCAAATGTCACATTCAAATTCGTGGAAATTGAGGATTGCGGCTACCTATACGCGTCGTGCATTGTTACATATGTCAGCATTGCGATATTTGCATCTCGCGACCGGCGAAAAGATATCTCAACATACGTTTGCAAAGTACACACATACACACACGCGTGCACGCGAGCATAGGTTACATATATACATTATACAATGTGGTAATAATTGTTTACGTGTAAATTGGCATAACATTAATTATGATTCTGTTAGGGAACATTGCAAACATAATTTACTGGGTGATCAAGGTACCATTTATTGCTTCGTAATAGTCTCTGCGAGATGTAACATTTACAGCGAGTGCACACGGAAACGCATGGGGACTATACGTGAATAAATAATGATTTCATACATTATCGACGATTCAGCGATGACTCGACTATTAAAAGAGAGAAAATGGAATGTCCCATAAAATATAAATTTTTCGTGGGACACATATTTCTACTATATAATAACTCTCTCCCTCTAGTTTTCAATATACTTATAGAATGTATAAATTCAAGAATTCATATATATTTATGTAGAATAGGATAAATAAATTTAAAAATTTGACTAATTTATATAACGTTACTTTGCACTCAAATATCTCGTTCTGAATTAATTTAATCATTATAATATTCAGTCATATCAAAATACATACTCGCAAATTTGATTAATTTATGTAGAGTTATTTTGTAACAAAATTCCTGCTAACAAACTAAAATAAATAATTATATGCAACAAACAAAAATTAAAGCTGACATTTAAAAAATAGTATTTTTTATATATTAGTATTTAAAATCAAAATACATCAAAATTATTGATTGTAAGAAATTAAAACAAATAACTACATCAAATGTGTAATAAAAATATATACATATATATATTTATATTTTCGGTTGTGCCTTATCAATTTCCACAAAAGGTTACATAAGACAGTATCCACAAATATCTTCTTTCTCATAAATGTTCGCGGGCGCACGGTCGGAGAGAATTTCCAAGATAAGAGGAATAATAATAGTGAATGGTATCTCATTAACTAACTTCTCACGTGTTTCCGCAATGGCATCAGATGTTCTGCTTGTTACATTGATCTGTCGCGGCCAGTGTTTCGAAATCGCTTGATATATTACAGCGTGGATATTATTCCTTCGCGAGAAGTGATTCTCTAAATTTAACAGCAATCTGTCCAAAAGCCACCACCTTAGTTTGCTTCTTGATCTCCCGTCCTTGCGAAATTTATTACTTGCCGCAATCTTTTATCTCAAATTCTGGAACCTATATATGTTTCTCTAAATTTTTTTCGAGCGGTATAAACGCAAACACTTCCTAATTCTATATTATAAATGAATCACAACAGATTTTTTGTTTTCTATCGACCATTACGTAAGTGCCAAATTTCTTCTTATTCAAATTTTTGTTCTAAACATTTCCACCATTAATATTTCTTGCCCTGGAAGAATGATTCAGCCTTCTTTTAAATACAAAGATCCATCTCGAAGGTCTAAAAAATTCAGATCTTGTTTAGCATTCGTAAGAGCAACATCTCAAACATAACACTTTGCGAATAATCAACTCTTATTAAGCATATAATAAAGTCTTGTGAGAGTAAGACAAGTATCATTTTATTTCAATCAATTTTATATTACGTCGCATTTCGAACGTAATAAACTGCAGCCATTTGTCTACGCGATGGCATGAAAAGTCACGAGAAGAAACAAAAAAGAATATGAACACGCAGATATGCAATAAATATTTACGGACGCGCATTAAACATCTAAAGGATCTAGATATGTTGCCTTAAGATATTTAAATTTATTTCTTATCGCTTCTGTGATTTAAGTATAATTAATTAATTTTCGCAACAAGAGGTCTACGAAACGCTGTCATAGACAGCGAACGTAAATATTATCGCTAAATATGTTAAAAAAGAAACGAGACATTGATCGTTAGCATTTGACTGATTACAAGCACAATTGTGAAAAGAAATATAATAGCGATGCAAAATCTGATGAAAATAAACGCATGTATAGGAAATGCACCGGTGACGGCCGTTTAAAGGCCACCGCTCGAACGATCTCTGCTGCATTGTGAAATGTTTTTTCCGGTCGCAATTAACGGACACCGCATACTGGCAATTAGATACGTCCAAGATGGATAATGTTGGAAACTTATTGCATAAATTCGCAAGCGCATCTCCGGCGGAGCATTTCGTCTTCAAAGAATGGCATCTCGTCTTATATATATAAATATATTATATTTATAAATATATATATTGTTACGTCCGGCGGACTCCACGATTCTTTTCTTT